GGATGAGTTAAAAAATTAGGAATAATGGCCATGCCCTCTCTAACTGAAAAGAATTGTTGGGAGTTCTTTAAGGAACCTCCTAGAAGTTCTTTTCTTTAGATTTCCAGCTACACGTGTCAACTAGTAGCTAAGTGACAATTAGTTAAAGTTTCAAATATCACAAACTGCTTGTGAAAAGAAATGTAAACAAAAAAGATGCAAAAGAAATTCAAAAGAAAGTTGCCAGAACCAGAACCAAAAATACATTTAGAACTTGCACCAAGAAGAGATAAAAATTCTATGTGATGACTAATTTCAAGAAAGTTACAAAGCTCTTATTGCATATCTCGAATGAAGCTAAGGAATATTGGCACTAATGTGAAATTGCGTTTCTTTATATCCTTTCTATTTTGACTGTGCTAATAATGTTCTTCAATTTCATCATGTAATGCAAGCATACTTAAAGCAGAAAGGTATGAAATGAGGAATTTCCAGCTCCCATTTTATTGATTCATCTAGCCATGAATATTTTAAGAGGGAATGTCTCTTGTTCTACTGATATTTGGAAAGGCTGTAGGAATTGCTGCCTGGGGATACAATAGCTTACTTAATCTTAGTGGAGCAAGAAGAGGAATTTACTGACTAAGCCCTGGACTAGGAACAATAAACGCATAATCAAGAGTGCTGTCATGGAAAATCTTTGTGCTCTTCCATTATTTGAAGCCATCTTCTCCTGCTTCAGAGTTGGTTTTTGCTCTTGGCAAGGTAATTAAATGGATATATACACACACACATATAAACTATGATTTTAGATCAATAAGAAAAGACTATTAAGGAAGAATAGATAGATAGATACATATCCTCTATTAGCACTTATTCTACTTTTTGTTCCTTTTCGGCTTGAGTCCTTGTAGTAAATTAGTAAGTCAAAATGCAAATAAGATAGAAGGGGCAATATTATGAAGCATTATCAGTATTTTATAACTAAGATTGATCATTTTTCAAATTCCTCCTTCAGATTAGTTTTTCACAAGAAAGAGAAACCATGAAATCTCATTTGAGAGCAGAGTTGAAGTATTATGCAGGGGCAGAAGGAGGGCATAGAAAAGAGAGAATAGAAATGGTAAAGTCAAAATCTACATGTAGCACAATGAAAGGGTATTAGATTCAGAGAGCCACCAGTGGCTGTTCCTGTGCATGGGGAGCACTTTTAGCTTCCCTGATCCTCAGTTTTCTCATCTGCAAAATGGGAGTCATAATTGTTAATAATGATATTTACCCTGGAAGGTTATAAGAATAAATGAAAACTAAAATAGTCTAATCTGTGGCATATATAATACATGTTACGTTCCCAATGCTGTTTCTAAGAGAAGTAATATATGCATCTATGAAACACAGTAGACTCTATAATGTATAGAGTTAGTGAAAAGTGAACAAAGGATGAAAGTCCAAGTTAATATTCCTTCAACTGGATCATAGGGTCATTATTATTAATTTATTTATCATAGTATATCATAATATATTTTATTTATATATCGTTATTATTATTTATTTTTTGTGTATATAGAGTAAAGACAAAGTTTCTTTAAAAAGTAGCATCTCACATTATCAAACCAAATACATAAATGAGTACATTAATACACACATATATAAATAGGCAAAAGTACTTACATGTTACATAAAAGACATGCACATGTGTGTGTGAACCAGCTGCCTAGATTTAATAGGTTTCCCCAGAACTTACTGATTTTGGGAATATGAGCACGTTTTGTTTGTTTTCTTCTGGTTGCTCTATGAAAAATGAAGATCCTAAATCCAGATGTCTCAAATGCTGGTATGTTGAATTCAGTTGTGAAAAAGATACAGTGTTAACAGGCATGCATCAAGAATTGTACATAATGCAAAAAAAAAATTATCTATCTGCTGCCTCACCTGAGAAGTGTGAAAATGCCCATCAGGGTGTGAAGGATATATGCCAAGGAGGATAAAAAATTGAGAACCCTTAATAGTTACTATGTGAAGATGTCTAGGTTATAAATTAGTGCTGATGGATTAGCACCATCTTACAGAGACATGTTCTATTTTAGTTAAAAGGATTTAGAGTGTTTCTTGGCCCTAGAAACTTTAATCCTATAGTTAATATTGAGAGTAACAATTATCTGAAGATTAAAAAATAAATCTCTCTCTCATTAAGTACATGTTTAATTTAGATAGAAGTTAGGCATTAAGGATGTATTTTTGTTTGTTCCTAAGAAGACAGATTTGTATGATATTTTTAAAAAATATCAGGGAACACAGTTCATCTAGTTAACAATTTAAAATTTTCCAGGAATAATATAAAATAATACAATTTTAATTAGAACAACAAATATGAGAAATACAGGGCATGTAATAGACAAATTTCCAAATCTTTGTCATTCAACTGAAAAGTAAATTTGAGAACATGATGTGTTTAAAAGTTCATTTAACACTGCTTTTGATACATTTGCTAACATCTGCCTTCTCTATAATCCCTGGCATTTGAGTCCACATTAATCACACAATGTCCCAGGGATTATGGCCACAAATTAAACTTGACTCTCTTCATCACCCATACATATTTTCACACCAGCAACAAACTCCATCTCACCTGCCAGTTCATAGCCCACCTCTTTCTGTCTTTGTCCTGCTGACAATAAATCCCCTCACCAGTTAATTGAACAGATGTACCCAGTGCTGCTTCCTGAAGATGCGCAAATCTGGGCTTTGATGGACGGTAGAAAGTGGCACAATTTAAAAAAAAAAAAAAGCCTTTTAACTGAGAGCACTGCTTTGTTCTCCTTCAGACTTTAAGGTCACTGCAGCTCATTCTGATTGTCGGGATCTGAATTTTTACTCAACCAATTTTCTTGCAGCTGCCACTCTTTCCAATATTAAAAGTTCAGCTCTTCAAATGTGGGGAGTTGGGGGGAAGTTGTTGTGCAGGGAATGAGAAGAGCTTGTTACAACCTAAAAACAGCAAAAACAAGTAAAATCTGGCTTGGCTCTCAAGTACAAAAAGTTATTTTCAAAGCCTATAAATTATGACACAGTGATTAACATGTAATTTAAATATATTTAAACAACAATTATATCACTTTTCCAGCCCAGCTAATTGGCCTCACAGATGTTCCCTTGTACTGCACTGCCCTTCCAAGGGGGAAATGAATGAGGTGCTTTTTATCATGGAAAACAGAAAAAAAGCAAATGGAAAAAATGGAAACAGAAACATAAAAGGCAGCCAGTAACCCTAAAAACAATAAACGCTAAAGGCGCTTTGCTTAGCATTTTTTTTTTTCCATTTTAATGCTGAAAACTAGGAGAAGCATGAAGACACTCCTATTACTGTGATGGTATCTGGCAGTGTGTCCAGTTACGGAGTTGGCAGGTTGCTGACGGAAAGACTGGTCAAAGCAAGGACAGCGGGTGCATTCTAATAAGGCCTGGCCGCACTTCATGTCTTGGAACAGACTAACTGCAAGAGAGCTAGTTATTTTTAATACAACGCCTTTACAGTTGAAGACGGTCTAGCCCAGATAATGAATACAAAAATAAGGTATTTCCTGATGAAGAATGACTTGCGGGTTATTCCTTTGATCCTTTATCTCTCAAGTTTTAGAAGATGCTAAACGTGCAGCTGTCAATGCTCTTTCCTCAGCTGGGATTCTAATTGAACCCTGCCCAGTATAGCAACTCTTGCAAAGTAAGAGGTCAGAGGAACACTGGTAATTATGAATATTTTGGAACACCTTGTCTTCTAATATGTCATCATAGAATAGAAATTAAATTCACTCCAGCCTCATTTTACTCTTGTCTTTTCTTCTAATAATCTCAGGTAATGTTGTAAATTGCAAAAGGCCACCAGCTGGCCACCCCAAGTATATCATGGTAGCTCCAGTATCTGTCATAATTCCTGTGCTTTCATTGTAGAAATGTAATAAATATTTGCTAAATGCTTGCAAAATAATTTGAATTTAATGAAAGGGTAAGGCCAAGGTTTTAAGATGATAAAGTTCCAGCAGATAGTTGTCACATTTTTGTACCATCCCTCTATCTTTACACAACACTGGACTATACAGAAATTTTCTTTCTCAAATTTTATGAGTAAACAGATCTGATTTCATAACTTTCTAAAAGATAGCAAAATACACCTATAGTCAAGGTAATGTGGAAAACAGGTAAGCATTTAAAAATGTTTCTTTGATGAGAAGCTTTGGCACTTTGCTTGACTTTCAAAATCTGACTTAGGTGTGAATATTTAAATTTTTAAGCCATAAGAATATAGAATTTGGGATTTTTTTTTCTTAATAGAAATATGATTTCAGCCAGTTCTAAATACATAAAAGTAATGTATGTAAAGCGTCTTTTCAGGAAAGAAATCAATTTTCCAAGATTTTCTGCTGTTTCCTGGCTTTAAAAAAAAAATAAGACTGACAAGAAAATATTATGTATCTTTCCATAAGGAGAAGCTAAGAAGCTGACCCTTTGCTGAAATGGTGAAAAATAAATATAACTTCATAGCAAAAATTACTCCAGGCGAATTGAAATCCACTTCTATCTCCTGTTAGATAAATTTCTTCTTGTAAGAGAAAAGTGAATGCCGTGGTATGTGGCCACTGGGGTCATTTAATGTGTAACAAAGGAAATGGTTCCTCATTTACAACTATGGTTAATTATTTACTGCTTCTCCCTTTCTTCCAGGATTAATCAGAAGAATATTCATAGTCGACTTATTTTTAATCCGTCAAAAATTTTTACTTTTTCTCTATGACTTTCCTTTCCTTTTCAGGATTGAATTAAAATATTTAATATCCTCAAAAATTAAACGTGCTTGTAGTCAGGGTGCATAAAATGTTTCTGTTTAGCAAACTTCACTGTTGTGCATGTTTTCCCCTTTGGTTCATACAACTCATGTGGCTTTTCTTTTTCTTTTCTTTTTTTTTTTTTTCTCCATTCATGTTACCTCTTATTATATCCATCATTCCATTTTTCTTTCCTATTAGAGTGAAATTGGACACAGCCCTCCTCCTGCCTACACCCCCATGTCAGGAGTAAGTATTTCACAGTCAACCTTCATCTTTTAGGATTTTTGGTCTTTGCTTACCACGTTTCCTCTCTCTTGTCTCATCATAATTTCCTCATTTTGCCTTTGCCAACAGTGAGTTGAGAATTTACTGTAAATTGTGTACCCGCTGAGGTAGAGATGTTTTATCTCAGTAGATGATCCAGAGTTGAGATGTCATGCGTCAACAGTAGTTTTTGATTTTTATCGGAAGGATTTACCTGGGCTCATACGTTATGCTTCTGGGTGAGGAGATTATCTTTACTACCACGATGACAGGTCTTGTGCTAAAAAGTCAGAATCTCAGTGACGATTCCCTAGTTAGGCACTAGAGACTCAGAGTCATAGGAACTGCAGAATAAAAGGCCATAAGGAAATATCACCATTCAAATTGCATCACTGTTCTTAACGGCAGCAGTTCTACAGTTAATGACATCACCATTTGTCTTGCAAATTCACTTTGAATTTTTGCATTAAAAATAGGCAATTGTGGGAAAAGATCATGAAATATTTTTTTTAAGATCATGTGGTTGGGTGGTTAGTAAAAGTAAAATATATATTTCCAAATTGTTTTCCCACAGTTGAGTTACCTGATAAGAAAAAGTGGAATTGTAGGTGTTTCTAGTCTGGAACTCAAAGTCATTAAGTATTAGGGGGAAAAACTCAATTGAGAAACTCTGACTTTTCTCTGAGAGACAAACTCCCATATTCTTTCGGTTATTAACATTCATTCTTGAAAGCTATTCCTAACAATAACTTCGATCCAAATGTGTCTCTACTATTGACAGAACCAGTTTGTGTACCGAGATGGGGGTTTTGCTGCAGAGCAAGGAGTGCCTGTGCCCTACAGAGCCACAACCAGCACCATCCCAGAAGCTCCAGTCGCTCAGGGGGCTACAGCCGAGATCTTTGATGACTCCTGCTGTAACGGCACCTTACGCAAGCCAGTGACACCCCATGTCCAAGAGGACAGCAGCACCCAGAGGTACAGCGCCGACCCCACAGTGTTTGCCCCAGAACGAAGCCCACGAGGAGAGCTGGACGAAGAAGGGTACATGACCCCTATGCGAGCCAAACCCAAACAAGGTACAAGCAGCGTGTTCAGAAATGATCGCCATTCGACATTCACTTCCATCAAAGTGTACAAAGTGCAGAAGGGAAGTGGCCGAACCAGTGGGCTGGGTAACATTTGTGATCCACAGAAGGCCCGGGCTACTACTCTTCCTAGTGTGCGCTCTGCACCTGCAACCTCACCATCTAGGGGCTTCTTTAGAAATTAGAATCTCACACCCCACCTGAATGGGAATCTGCATTTTAACAAGACCCCCAGGTGACTTTTATGCACGATCAAGTCTGAGAAGCACTGATCTAAACGAGTCCCTACTGGAATATTTGAATGAGGCAGCATATCACAAGATTTCAGAGCCATTTCTCTATTGGACTGATTGTGGAGATCATAAAGACTTAGTCTTGTTAGTAAAAGCATTCAAAGCGTTTGATGGTGCCAATACAAGATTTGATTGATTCATTAAATTGGTGTCACTTAAGTGACCTAGAATATTACAGGAAATGATGATTTCTTGTATGATACATTTCAAAAATTAAAGTTCTGACCCTGAAGATATTTATATGTGAACCATCACATCCTTAAGATAGTCATAGTTTGTGGTTTTACAAAGCACATCAATAACTTTAGGAAGTGGGTAGTAGGAATATTAAACACCTAAATCAAATAACATTTCAACTTTGAAAAAAGCCTCTTTCCTCTATGTTAATAGCATCAGAAAAAAGGGAAGATAGATTATCATTAAAAACTGATAATCATGTCTCAGTCTTCAGTGACACAGCAAACTGTATTTTAAGACTCTGTACAAAGGCCCACTATCTCCCTTAATATGCAATTATAATCACTTTTATAATATGCAATTAAAGGATCCCTAAGTACATATTGTCAACAACCTATTAAAATATATCCAACTCAATATGTATGAAAGCATTACTTACTGTAATGAAGAATCGGATGTTTACAGTAGCCCAGTGGTGACACAAATGTAGGTTTTGAGAAGGTTTGGCTGATCCCCCTGAAAGTGGAATACCCTCCGGGAAGATTCTCAACTCCCTCCATAAAATGATCCCTCTCTGTAGAACTCCATGGCTACCCACATTTTCATCAGGTCAATAAATAAGTAGATTGCAATGAGAAAAGGTAACTTGAACCTTCTAAGGGAAAGACACGTCAGTCTATATAGACTCACTGTAGACCATCCCCAGATTTTATCTCTTAGTACTGAGACCCCTGTACTTCTGCAGAGGGTTCTTCTATGCTAGCCTAGTTCTCAGACAGTAGAGAATTTTAGTATAGACATTCCTATACTTTCGATTAAGAAATTTCAACAATCTGGTAATAAAAATCAAATTCTGTCTCCCTTGTAAGTTTTTTCATACATGTTTTTCTTAAAATGACAGTAGCTTTGAGAACCATTCAAATTAAAACTTCTGATGAAGTGTCAAGTTCAGCCTACTCCTATAGGGGCAATAACGAAAACAGTGCAGCTGAACAAGGAGATTACTCCACAAGAGTTAGGGAATTTGAATTCTAGTTGAACATTAATTGTATCCTTCATACATCATTTAGTCTCCGTTTTCTGTCTATAAAGCTGGAAAAATACAGCTTGCATATCCTTTATCACAGGATTGTTGTGAGGATGAAATGATAATGCCTTATAAATGACTGGGCTGTAATTCATGTATATCATGGTAGGATATTCATCACTGTCTTTTAACTTGAACATGATGCTAAATACAGGGGGTAGAAAGTTTGTTTCAGATGGTGGTATTTCAGCAGACATTTGTGCCTTCTCCCTGCCCCAGTACCAAAACAGGAATAGCTAACGTGTCATTTCTGTACATAGACTGAAAAAGAGGGTCCAACTGTATATGTGTCATCGTCTGTATGCAGTCTCTACTATAAACATGGGGGTAAAATTAATCCTGGGGAGAGCAGCAGCAATTAGCAGCATTTTTTGAAATGCTGGGCCAACACTTATTCTTGATGAATTTATTAGATTGAATCCTACAAAATAGCCACTATATCACTGGTTTCAGCCTACAGAATAGCAATTTCTCATGATTTAAACTAATAGTTTGCTGTTTGATGATTATGATTAGCCATTGGAAATAAATGTTATCATCATATTTTATTGTTAAGCATACATATTGTCAAGCAAGTCAGTTGAGAGGCATGTTAGATGTCTGTGTGATTTGATTAGTTGAGTCTTAGACGTTTTCTTTCCTATGTGGAAAGCTTTCTGCGGAAACATCTAATAATCAAATCCTTGTTACCCATATGGACATTCACGACGAATTATGTAGACTAGAAGACACTATTCTTTCACTTCATCCATTTATCTTGGCATGGAGTTAAGCTATAGACATTTTGATTTTCCAATATTCTTTTGAAAATTCTGATTTATTCATGTTTAAAGGCTATTTAACCCTGATAGGTTGTCTTCTATGCCAGTATAAATGACTGAGTTTCAGAAAATAGAAGCATTTAAACAACCGGCCCCATATGGAGGCGAGACAAATGCAATTAGAAGGAAAGAACAATCGAGGGACCAAGGACTCTGACCCCGGCCTTGTTGGGGCCTTGGTTTGTCATTAACATGTTTGGCGCACTTACTCCTTTTCCATATGACGGTAGTAATCAACAGAATAGTTTTGTGAACGTTCATGAAAAGAAATCTGTGGCTTTATTGCTCTGGAAAAAGAAGCTAACCATCTGTAGAACCACGGTCCGATGGACATTTTCCAGCAAGTGGATATTAACTGATGTTTTTATCTGCCCTCAGAATACCTGAATCCTGTGGAAGAGAACCCTTTTGTTTCTCGGAGAAAAAACGGAGACCTTCAAGCTCTGGATAATCCCGAATATCACAGTGCTTCCAGCGGTCCCCCCAAGGCCGAGGATGAGTATGTGAATGAGCCACTGTACCTCAACACCTTTGCCAACGCCTTGGGGAACGCCGAGTACCTGAAGAACAACGTACTGTCTGTGCCCGAGAAGGCCAAGAAAGCATTCGACAACCCCGACTACTGGAACCACAGCCTGCCACCCCGGAGCACCCTTCAGCACCCAGACTACCTGCAGGAGTACAGCACAAAATATTTTTATAAACAAAATGGACGGATCCGACCTATTGTGGCAGAGAATCCGGAATACCTCTCTGAGTTCTCGCTGAAGCCAGGCACTGTGCTGCCGCCTCCGCCCTACAGACACCGGAATACTGTGGTGTAGGCCCGCGCCCACTTCCCCGCCGCCTCTCTTTCTCTTCCCGTCTTCCTTCTACTCCCAAGGCCAGTAGTTCTGCCACTTCCCGGTGGAAAGTAGCGAGATGCAATGACAGTTATGTGCTTTTCTAACTTGAACCTTAGAAGGAAGGACTGAAAGAGAAAGACAGGAGGAACCACACTGTTTCTTCATTTCTCTGCATGGGTTGGTCAGGAGAGTGGAACGGCTAGAGGAAGACCAGCAAATAAGAGGCAATACTGTCTGCTGCCAAACTAGTTTTCAAGTTTTTGTTTTTGTTTTTGTTTTTTTTCCCTCCTGACTTTTCTCTTGCTTTCTTGTCTTCCTTCCTTCCTTCCTTCCAAGGCACATGCTTGGAAGACCCATGCTATCTCTTTCCTATTTGCAGGGACTGATAATTACATTTTCAGCATCCCTGGAAATCCTAATAAAGTTTCCATTAGAACAAAAGGATAATCTTTTACATAACATATAATAGTAACTAAAATTGAGAAGCCAGTCTCTCTCTCTGACAGTTTCCATCCTGACAAGCAAGAATGGCCAACTCAGCTTTCATGATATTTGACTCTCCGTCAAAGTTGTAACAATGTGTGGGGGAAGGGCTTTTTTGTTTTCATGTTGTTTTGCTTTGATCTGTACCTTCTTATTACTTTCTCCCCTATTTTGGGCTTTAATTTATAATTGCAAAGATTTTTACATAAAACCTTATGTGTTGCTATAAATTGACGGAATTGTAAAAAGAAATATTTTAATATGGTGAAATGGCCACTATTTTAACTATACAGTCTTTAAAATTAGAAGGGGAGGATATTAGTCAAATGTAACATCAAATCCAACTTTTGTGTTTTACACTATTGGCTATGTATCCCCCCATTCTTTACATTCTTTAACATTTTCTTCTCCTCTATGTACTTGATAAGCAGTTGGTAATGTTAAGAGTAGAAGGGAAAGTAAAAGACAGTTCTGTGTGGTTCATGAAAACTACTGACGCTTTTGGGGTGATCCGATGGGGAATCCATTGAACTGGAAGAAACACACTGGATTGGGTATGTCTACCTGGCAGATACTCAGAAATGTAGTTTGCACTTAAGCTATAATTTTATTTGTTTTCTTTCTGAACTCCATTTTGGATTTTGAATGAAGCAATATAGAAGCAACCAGCAAAACAACTCATTTAAATACATTTTTTTAAGTGCTAAGATAAAGAAAGACTGGAAATGCCAAACCAAGCAAATTAGGACTTTGGAACAGTATCCAGGGATTATGGTGAGAGGGTCAGCACATGATCAACATGTGATATCACATTTCCTACACAAGGAAAAGTTGTCCAGTTTGTATACTCCACTTGAAGGAATGCAAGTAAGGACTGGCTTGAATTCCATGGAATTTCTAGTATGAAACTCTATTTATATTAAGTAGAAGGTAACTCTTTGCACATAAATTGGTATAATAAAAAGAAATACACAAACATTTACTGATATAGATAGGTCCTTGGATCAAAAGTTGTAAATAAATGTGAAAAAACTTCTCATGTAATTATTTTAATATCCAACCTACTAATCTTTTGATACTTTATATAGTAACTCTTTTTCTTCAAACTCAGCATCTGAATTCTAGGACCATCTTTATTGTGTATCATTTTAAGATGAGCAATGAGAACAAATGGTAGGGATGGGTCCAGGAAAGGGGGACCTCAGGTCAATAATTTAAAAACTTGGATGGAAGTCTCTCTTTTCTAGTAAAATCTGCCCCAATTCATTTGGAATTTTTAAAAAATATTTCCTTCTAATGTTAAAGTATTGGGACCAAATGTGAGTGTATCACCTAAATGAAAGCAATTAGACTAAAAATCTCCACTGGCAAAGAGGAGCGTTTAGAAAAAGAAATGAAAAGAAATCTAGGTTTCTGCCTATTGAAAAAATATATCTATCCATCCAGCTCCCTTATTTTTTCAACTCATAATGATTTAGGGTCTATTAAAAGCACTGTGTTATGTGGGGAGCACCCAGATAAATGCAATATCCCTAACTTAAAATTTTTACAATCCAGATATATTTGGAATGACATTTGTTTATCTATTTATAATTCAAGGAATACAATTGCATGAACTATTTTATGACCATCATCATAAAATCAGCTCTTTGTTAAAAGATCTCCTGTGAACTCATCTGGAACATGAGTTAAGCATCCTACAAGTTACCGAAGTCAACAAAGAGAATAGCTTCAATGTTATCCAAACACAAACTGCTCTAGAAAGATGTTGTATCACTGGCTAGTTGTCCTCTCTGAATTCTTACTGGACCGTTAAATCAACAATAGATGTTGGTCTTCAGCCAAGAACATTTGAGGCATTGAGATTGATTTCTCCCTAAGTTTATGAAAAGTGAGGTAAGCTAAAAGAATGAGGTCGAGCGAGGGAGGGGTCTGTGAGATCTCTTTCAGTGAAGTTCCAGCATGAACCTCCTAGGGTTGTAGACACAGAACGACTCAGGGGCCACAGCCTAACAGTTCAGAGCTCTTCCACCCAATCAGAGGAGGCTCCAGCAAGAGTCTTCACATCAGTACTTATGAAAATGTGGATATAAGCCTGTCTTTCTAGGTAAATGTATACCAACTTTTCACTGACAGCACCCTTGTTGGGTACTAGAACTTGACTTTTTCTTCAGATTTACAATATTCATATGGTTTCTACTGGGATACGAAAAGCAGAATCACTTATGTTGGAGAAGGAAAGAAATATAATTATTTTATTATTAAGGTAATAGAAAAGTATTCAGTGAATGTAGTGTCTCTGATCCTAAGACCCTTGCACGTCAGGTGCTAATAACTGGAGATAGATGCAAGTTTAATCCAAAAGGACCCAAAATGCTTCACAAGAACTCTTGTTTCTTCTGAATGATTTCTCTAGCAGATACTTGATTTCCGTTATTTTAGGGTTTTACTTTTGTTTTATTTTTGTCCCCTTAGGAAAACATATTTTGGAGTATATAAAAGAGAGAGAAAAAAAATTTCATCTGTTCCAAAGATGACTTATTCAACCCAGTAGAGTGAAGCTTTAAAATGCCAATTCAAGCCTGCAAAGGGCATCGGAATAACAGATTATTGTAGGCTAGTTGTATCAGTGGAAATACGTAGAACCAATTAAGTAAATCTGAGGAAAATTAACGGTAACCTTACACAGACAGTATTTTTAAAATCACCATATCTTGTAGCTTATACCTATCTTGGAGAATCTTTTTTTCAGGTAAGAAAAACTGTGTAACTAAATGATTGTTTAAAGCAGTGGTTCTTAGACAAGTGAGAAAAGACGTTGTCCAAGCCACCATAAACCCAGAACCACAAAGCATCCTACACCGCAAAGAGGCACTTGAATGACTGAGTAGCAAGTGATTTTCCGAATATTAGTGGCACTGGTTAGGATGAGAGTTCTTTCTCGGGTGATACTCTTGAAAGGAAATATTTTTAAAAATGCAAAACACAAATCAGATTAAAATCTATGAACTAAAAATATGAGATTTTTTTTTCTCAGTAGGTGAGGAAGATTGAATATCTGTAGCAGGAGAGGAGAAATAGCCTTCTTCAAAGTATTATAATACGTGTGTTAATACCTTCTGAAATCAGGACTTGGCGCGAAGATCATGTATATTCCTAATGCCTGGGACAAGCCAGCAGAAGGACCGTGAGGTTCTGCTTCTACGTAAAGTTGGAAGGGGCATTAACATGCCTTTTGACGTGTCAGAAATAAAAGAAAAAGAAAAGTGTTTAAGCCCGATAAGGAAGGATGTAAATACATGTTTCTCTAGAGATAGCTAACAATTATTTCAAAACTTGAATTATTCATCCATCTATAAGTGTTGATTATTTAACTAGTATTTGTAGTTCATAAGGTAATAGAAAAGGTGATCATGAAAGCATGTATATAACTGGGCAGAACCACGATAATGCTGTAAGGTGTAGATTTAGTTAGGTTATCAGACATTAAATGATTTTAATACTATTAAGTAAATCAAACTAGAAAAGTAACCACAAAATATAATGTAGCAAAATAAAAGGCAGGATATGAAGATTTAAGATGGATTTTGTGTAGTAAAAAATACGTTTGCCATTTAAAATTGTTCTTTGTTAGGTTTAGCTGAAAGTAGGCATATGAAGAGCTGGTTCCACTTATGAAAACTTACTTTAAAGCATTACAATTATTTTTTTTCTCATTCCCTTATGCCTTTACCATTTTTTAAATGTATTCATTGTAAAGAGAAATTTTCAAAATTTGTTTTGCAAACACTACCTTGTAGAGTTTAACAGGCAAATATGTTACGTATGACCTTAAGAGGTTTTCAGAATGAAGTAAAGGAAATATAAATGTTCTATTACCTTATGCAGAGACAAAAAATGAGTGGTGCCATTTAGTAAACAGACAAAATGCATTTAATTTGTGACATATCCATCTTCCATGATATCCTCCCATCTACAAAAAAAAAAAAACCCAAGGAATTAATTAATAATATTCTGATAAATAAGTGCTTAAGTAAGCGTTTCAAATGGCTGTATTTCCATGATTTTGGACTCTAGTTATTAGCCTGATGATTTTTAATAGGGCAAATGAGAAATCCAGGTGTAAAACATTTCTAGTTGTTAAAAAAGTCAGAAAAGGGAATCTACTGTATATGCTATGGGCAGAGAATTTTGCTGGGGCTTGCTTTGTGTACATGGTCTTTGAAGGACAGCTCAGCACCCATGCAGACGTCTAAGGCAGACTCACATCTCCTGATTGCCATTTGCTTAAGAACAAATAATACTATACAGAGGTAGACTGGGCGTCATTTTAAAATAACAGTTGCCAGCAGAGACCGTGATATTAGTGAAATTACAAAGGGGCCAGCGTTTATACTTCTGGGTAGAATTAACACACCTTTTCTAAGCCCAGAGAGACTTTGCGAGAGTAGTTCTTCCCACAATTGCAAACACAAAGCTGTTGTGGACACTGTTGGCTCAGGAGCGTTTGCATTTGTGTGGACAAATGGCTTTTAACACCATGGGCTGCTTTGTTCTTTTCATTTAAAACGACAACAAAAAAAATCTCCATAGGAGAGAAATTTCAGACACTCTGTTCAAAGTCCCGCTGCTTTTGCAGAGGTGCAAAAGCCTAGGGTGTGTCACCTCTGCAGACCCCTGTCCCACTTCTTCCCGGCCAGGTGCTATTTGGGGCAGAGGAAACTACTTCTCGGGTGATGAGCTGAAAAGACTCTGAGCCCCAATTTCAAGTAGATGTTCATACGCTTCTCCTGGAAAATACTCCTTTACAGTCAACTTTGCAAATAAGTGATTATCTTATTAGGAATCACAGAAAAATTCATTTCTCTCTGGACCTTGCAAGAAAATACCACCCTTACTTCTTTTCTCATCAGCACAACCATTCCGTCCTCCTCTCTTTTCTGCCACCCGAGGTCAAAGTGGCCCTTCTGATGCTGTATCTGTGTTAAGCCATAGTGGACTTCTGAGGTCCCACATGCTGCTTTGTGAAATACGGATTTAGCCTCTGCCCTCAAATGTCTGATTTTTCCATAAACGATACTAACAATTGGGACATTGTTTAGATTATTTCTCAAACACATGACTGCACATAGTATACTTTATGATATTAAAATGATGCTTTTCCATGAAGATCAATTCTCTTACTATGTCCTTCTCTGTAGGAATCTAAGTCGAGTCAGCCCTGTGATGAGATCTTGAAATTCACATATGTACACATACCCTTAGTTGATTTTAGATTTAATCTTTCCATAAAAAATTTACATATAATAATTTATTTTTTGCCAGCAAATTAACTTATTTACTTTATTTATCTTACTTTACTCCTGACTGAAAATATTTTATAGCTGCTGTATTTTTTTTTGTTAGTGAAGAGTCTTATTATCATAAAGGTAAAGGCAATTCATCTTTGAGAACCACCTGCAATTCTTTATGGGATCATTCATCCATCTGACAAATACATAATGAATCCAGTTTCACTGAAATGAAAATCCATGTGATCTAATAATAGGTTGCCATTTTTTCTCTACTTTTGCTCTTTAAGGACATTCTTCTTTCAATGCTCTAATGAGTTTTACCCATATCACAAGAAGTGGTTATATTTGTACAAATATACAAATTTGAGAAAACAAAGTTTCATCTCTGTAGGCAAGTCTAACTCATACAAACCACTTTGCCTTTACCGCTATTTTTATCCCTGAAGTGTGGATGTTTCCCCCAGTCCTGTAGCTGTTTTGAAGGGAAGCAAATCAGAGCTCTTAAGTACTGACATAACCTGGTTCTTGAGTATCATTTCCAGATTTTTCAGTTAGTTGGGGTTTGTACCTTTTCCCTAACGTGAGAGTCATTTTCCTGTATATTTCTGGATCTCTCAGGGGCTGGGAGGGGGGAGAGAAGGGGCCACACCACTCCAAGAATCCTTTGGGATTACTCCAGTAATTAACCACGGAAGTTATTTTCTAAATGTAGATATGTAAGCTGTTCTTTTAAAGTAAGGTACTTCGGAATATGTAGCATAAATTGGTACTGCTGTTAAATGGGTCGATTTTTAAACTGAGCAGCTGTGCGAGGGCAGCTAACTTTGAATGCACACCTCACTGGCTGGTGTGTCTACACCTCCTGTCTGGAGCACCAGGGACTTGCATCGCTGCAGGTCCAAACTGCATTTTCACACGGCGTGACTAGGTGTGTGTCTCTTTCTTGAGCACCATTCGAACAAGATCAGATGAAAATGAAATCAGTCTGCAAGACAATTCATAGCACAAAAAATAATAAGTCACTTTAAATCTTCTCTCGAACATTCATCTCATACATGCATCAAAATAGTTGACTAAGATCAGTTCAGTTGATAAAGGGAGACACTTTACCGAAAAGGCAGAGGCTTAAGGTATTATATACATTTGTATTCATTTCCTTATGTTCTTGACTTGTAAACAGACAACAAGCCCTCTCTCTTCTGAAGTATCTTCAAAGGACAGGGGAGCAAAAATACCTAGCTGGTAAGCCATTGATGTTTCATTTAAATCCCAGTGTTCAAAGTTAGCTGCCTTTTTGAAATAAACAAACAAAAAATACTACTGTATGTTTGAAAATGTGAATAGTATTTTTATAGCTTGTTAAAGACATGGCTAGTTGCATTTGTAAATAGGGATAATGTTGCTTTAATTTTCTTCTGTGGACATCTTTATTTGGAACATAATTGTCTTTAGGGTTGATTTGTATATAAGTAATTGGCTTGTGATTGTTTCTTTTTGGTTGGAAGTTATCATTTTGACATTACTTGTGATTCTGTGTTCAGCACTATCGTGACGTGTTCAACCTCTGCACTCGCTTACACAATAGGATATGCCAATTGTGTGTGGTGTAATGTTATTTTGATTTTTTTTTCTATTTTATCGATGAAGGATTATGCACTTAACACATACTAACTTTTTTAATGTTAGGTATATTTTTAGTATAATTTCCCTTATTCTTTCCTCTCCTTCAACCCTTCACCCCCTGTTTCTTCCCTTCCCCCAATTTCTGTTGTTCTTTGAGAACGAGGGACAAACAGTATTTTAAATTTCTGTACTTAGGCTTTTCTGTTAGTTCTCAAGGATCCTCTCTTGGCTCTTGGGAGAGAATTATACCTGTATAAGGCGATTATAGAATGCGACCTGCTTTGCCTCATTCTGTACTGATCATCCCAGCTGAACAATTTGAAAACTGTTCTGCCTTTTTGTTACATGAATCTGTCAGAAATATATTTTTAATTTAATATAAATGAAATTCAATAAAATATGAAACAAATGCTCTCTTGTGCATCAGAGGTTTGTTATAAGAAAAACCAACTGGGGAAGTAGAAAGTGTGTTCTAGATTTAATAATCTCAAGATGTGAAAATGGGTTTATTTTTGTCCATTTATGAATCTCATTAATTATTCCTCAGAAGCCTTTGGTTGTTTCAAATGTAATACATGCCATATGTTTTTACCATCGAGCACAAAAGCCTACTGATGTGTACAGACTTACTCATTGGTACAGACTATGTTTAATTAAACTGTGATTGGTTTGTTTCTTTGGGAATAAAAAATGTTTATGAAATATCTGGTAGGTTGTATCCAAACAACATTAATACTTTAAGGATTTTTTTTTCTTTCTTCCCTTACTGCAGTTTACAAAAATGGTCCTGACAAATCATTTTGTATAAAGAAATCAAATGTGAGTACCATGCTTGAAGTGAGGGAGAGGGAGTGGGACCATAAACAGCCAATTAACTGACTGGTGATTTGGGACAGGCCCATGGAAAGGTGGAAAGAAAGATTTCAGAGACACTGGTTGGTGATGTGAACAAGATCTTCTCTCCGCACTTTATTATTGTAACTTTTTTATTTTTAAATATTATTTCTCACTCCTTCATACTTCCAAAGTGTAAGAACTTTAAGATTCCAATAACTTTTTCACACTCTATTACTTTTCCAAACTATTTTGGATATTTGATTACATATGATGTCTACCAAATGGGTAGACAAGCAAAGACATATTTCCACTGCAATATAGAAGAGTAAGTTCTTCAATTTGTTCAGTTATGGGTCTTTAAAGATCCTGTTGGTTACACCTGCTGCTATTTGCATGGACATGCGTATGTTTTCTCCTTTGGATATTTTAACCCATTTATTTGAGATCATTGTCGTATCATTGTGTTCAGGGTGAGGTATGTGAAGGCACCATGCGTTTCAATCCATTGATAGACTGAGGAAGAGGGAGAAAAACCTTGTATTTTCATTGCTTTAATACCTTAAAAGGTACAGTTGACATTTCCAGTGGCACCATGTAAGTTTTCATGGTCATTGTAATACTTATTAATTACGTAATGCTTTACTATATGTAAACTTATTCTGCATTTGTCAGTTTTTGGCTCACTACACCGTTTTGAGATAAGTATTATTGAAATAGCCCCAATCATCCAGATAAGGAAAATAGGACTAAAATAACAAATCTAGAGCCATGTGGCCATCATTGAGTGGTGGTACTCACCCTCAGAGCTGCATCTTCTGATTAAAGTATCTTTCTTTCCTCCACTGGTTAAATGCTTCTCTTTCTCCCACTGCCATAGAAGAATCTCATTCTGATTGGAGACTAATATAGGCTGACAAATTGTCTCAATTCAAGACCACCAGTGGCCTTTGTTAGTTCCTTGATAACTGCTCTGAAAACTTCACTCAGCCTCCTCAAGCTACCTGTGTGTAAGCCATCGATGATGATGAATCAGATTCCTTTCACTCAAGAAAGATAAATGCAACTCCGTCACAAGTCAAATGACTTTTTAAAATGACCATTTGGAGAGCCTACTGATTGTGGTCCTTTCTCAGGGTCTTATAAATCTGCTCAGTAAAGGCATCACTTGTCTCCCCACATATATCAGAGAATACCTATCTCTAGCAATGTTATTACAGACACCAATGTTAACAGAAGTGAAACCTCACATGAAACACCTAATTTATAAACAAGTCGATAGTTTCTTCAGTTTACTATGTGCTAATGGCCACTGGAAACAACTTCTGAAATAGTCACAGCACAGAATCTGATGCTGAGCCAATGTCAGAACTTAAATTAAAATGATGACGGTAAGAGAAAAAATATTATGGAGAAGCTGTGAGGTATTTAAAGGAATAGAAAGGGAGAAGCTAAACCGAAAGTCAAAATTCAGACTCTAGATCTTTTCTATAGCTTTACACTCCAAGATTCCTGAATTCACAACTGTTCGACTTTACAAGCCCTCTAGGAAGATATCTATCTATATTTAGACCTATATTTATCTATTTATTGATATCTGTGTATATACATGTACCCATATGTATATGTATAGAGAGAGATTATGGAGAAAGAATATATTAAACCAAATGTTTAAAGATACATTTATATATTACAAAATTTCATAAGAACCTCTATTTTCAAGCAATTTCACCACAAACCCCAAGACATGGATCATAGTACAAGTTACACTCATAAAGTTGTAAACTGAGCAGGTGCATAGTTAGCTAATTGTATTTCCCTCCACAGTATTATCAAGCTACACGATGAGCCATGGGGAGCAAAGCCACTAGACAGCCATCTTAAGATTAGAAACAGAAGACTGTCACCCAGATAGCAATTTTAAAGCTATAAACGGAACAATTCACCACAAGATAGCAATCAGGAGATTGTAAACCAAATGGTACACGTGAGACACGTGAAAATTGACATACCTGCTCTTGCAAGTTACCCACAGATTTTTAAAAGAAAAATATCTCTCTTGCAAACCTGCTTCTACTTATTCAAATTTCCAAGAGAAGTAGAGTGTTCTACCAAAAGAAATAATTAGCGTGTTCTGCCTTTCTTAGAAACCAAGAAAAACAAATATTCCAAGCTTCCAAGACATATTAGCTGTCCACCGATTCCAACTATACACATATCGTAAGATATCCTCAGGATAAAATCTTTCTAATCTCATCTTAGTTATCTTAAACATCTTCTTATGTCATCTTCTTCCAAGTATTATAAGAATTTATTGAATTGTATTGCTTTTCCATTGGTTGGTCCATTTGGTTAAAACTAGTCACCTGGTCCCACCCAGGTACGAGAGCTGTGGGAACACACAGGTATTGAGTGAACATAATTATTTTCTGATACATGACTGACATAGCTTTATAACAATGAAGGGAAACGTCTAGCCCTTGGCCAATATCTGCCGATGGCATCTGTTGGAATACACACAATAGCTCTTTTTGTTGGTAATGATCATTCTTTTACTCTGTCTTCCACTGTGCTGTCTACATTCCCATCTGGTATCTAACCATTTGGTCTAATGCATATTCCACTGTCATATGCCATTAATGTGACCATGGTCCTCAGATTCTCCTGCAAATCCCTGGACCTTTCTAGAGGAAACAGTGAAATCTGCTTGTTTACATTACTTGGAAGTTCTAGATTCTGAAAGTTCTGCTACCTGAGGCTCTCCATGCTGACACCTCTATCCTGTTACTTCTAATCCAAGGGCAAGTGAAATTCTGTGAGGCCCCCTTCTCAAGTTTCCAGAACAAAGTGGGTAATCATTTGCATTTCCAAATTTGAGCTAATGGAAGGGACAGAACAAAATAATATTACTATGAATAAAATCAGATTCTATTGATGGGTATTCACCGAAAGCTGTCACTTTCCTCCTCATCTCTTCATCTTAGCCCTTCCTTTCTAAGTCAGAAGAGTTTTATAGATTGAACAGGGGAATTGAGGGGGAATTAAGACACCAAGATGTTGTTTTTCTGGATCTCTCTCTACGGTATCATGGAGGTCTTGTATCTTGTGGTTTAAAGAAGAGTTTCTCATTGGGTAAAAGAAATTGTGTGTGGAAGGGGACAGCATCTACTCAGTAGTGTGCTAAGCAAATCACATGCAGTACCTCACTTAGTCTTTATAAATTATAAGGTAAGAGTTGTATTTGAACAGTTGTTGAGTTCTGATAATACACGATCTCCAGATAGATAAAAGGCAGAATTCTTCATTATTTACAGAAGACCACCATGCAGACAACACAGGGGTTTGCACCTGGGGGAAGGGTAACGGCAGTCCGGAACGGTAGGAGGAAGCTCATGGATGGCAAGCCAGGTGGAGTTAGGTTTCATGGGTGTTGATAGATTATTTTGAACAATTCTGCAGGCCTCAGGAAGAAGAGGCTATTCTAGAAGTTCGGCATCTGGGACCCCTGACAGTTGGCTGTGTGTGCTATAACCCAGAGTGTCAGAGCCCAATAATAAAGGAAGGGGTTGGAGTGTAGGCTTAACAAACCTCTCATGAAGGGACATTGAGAGTTTTTAGCCATGATCTCAAAACTGGGTCAAGACAGACTTGTGAACTATTATGTTACAAGCCATCATGATCCCCCCTTTACAGTTAATATGACTGACATATAAAAGTATTAAGTTACTTAACCAAAGTCACACAATTAGGAGATCATGCGGCTGGAATTCCAATCAAGAGCCACCTGGATCTTGGCTCTACAACTTCTCTAAAAGACCTGTTCTCTTACATACTCTCTTTAGTGGGGCTTTATTACACTTTCTATTCTCTCTTCAGTTTAGATATTTTCTCTCTCTCCTGTCTTGCCCGTTGTGTAGTTTACATGACTGCAGGAGCCAGTGTATGTTGAGTTTCTGTGAATTCACTTCTTCGCCCTGTTGGCCCACATCTACTGTACCTTGGCTCATTCTGTATTCCTGAAGACACATAATACTCCAGTGGGCAAATGGGCCAACTTATTATTGTGTGACAAATATAAATTTCTCTTCCAATGTTACCTAGTTGTATGAGTTAATTCAAAGATTGTATAGTTCGAAGAACTGTATAATTTAAAATATCAATATCTTCCATTCAGTATAGAAGGGACATCGCAGAAAATACTTTTAACATTAATCTGGATTGAATTGAAATTCTCACTAAATATAGAACAGTCCTGCTAGTTGTCAAAGATCAAATAACAAAATAATAATTAGATGCTCCACTATTTCCTGCCTAGTCAAATGCTCAGCTTGACTTTTAAAGTGAAGGAAGAAGAGAAAGTATTGGAGGATAGGTCTGGTAATATCAACCAGAAGAATAAGATGGAGACAATTTAGTGTCTTGGAACAAGAATGATAGGTCATCTGAAAATACTGAAATCAGTTAAAATAAAATAGTTCCAAATGAACACATACCCTTGAAGATAGACTTTTTTCAAATGTGATTATTTTCTTTTGTTTTTTTAATTCTTCTCCTGAAAATATTTTAAATTTATTT